GCTCACTGCAAGCTCCGCCTCCCAGGTTCACGCCATTCTCCTGCCTCAGCCTCCCGAGTAGCTGGGACTACAGGCGCCCACCACCACGCCCGGCTAATTTTTTGTATTTTTAGTAGACATGGGGTTTCACTGTGTTAGCCAGGATGGTCTCGATCTCCTGACCTCATGATCCACCTGCCTTGGCCTCCCAAAGTGCTGGGATTACAGGCGTGAGCCACCGCGCCCAGCCTTTTTTTTTTTTTTTGAGACAGAGTCTCGCTGTGTCGCTCAGGCGGGAGTGCAATGGCACAGTCTCGGGTCACTGCAACCTCTGCTTCTCAGGTTCAAGCAATTCTCCTGCCTCAGCCTCCTGAGTACTTGAGATTACAGACACCTGCCACCATGCCCAGCTAATTTGTGTATCTTTAGTAGACACAAGGTTTTACTATGTTGGCCTGAATGGTCTCAATCTCTTGACCTTGTGATCTGCCCGCTTCGGCCTCCCAAAGTGCTGGGATTACAGGCATGAGCCCCTGTGCTCGGCTGAGATCCAGACGATTTTTTTTTTTTTTTTTTTTTTTGAGATGGAGTCTCGCTCTGTTGCCCAGGCTGGAGTGCGGTGGTGTGATCTCGGCTCACTGCAAGCTCCGCCTCCTGGGTTCACACCATTCTCCTGCCTCAGCCTCCGTAGTAACTGGGACTACAGGCGCCTGCCACTATGCCAGGCTATTTTTATTTATTTATTTATTTTTTTGTATTTTTAGTAGAGACAGGGTTTCACCGTGTTGGCCAGGATGGTCTCGGTCTCCTGACCTCATGATCCGCCCACCTCGGCCTCCCAACGTGCTGGGATTACAGGTGTGAGCCGCTGCGCCCGGCCGATCCAGATGATCTTTAAAAATCATAAAACTCAACAAAAAACAACCCAATTCAAAAATGGGTGAAGGATTTGATAGGCATTTTCCCAAAGAAGACATACAAATGGCCAATCAACACAGGAAAAATGTTCAGCATCACTAATCGTTAGGGAGATGCAAATCAAAACCACAGGCTGGGCGCAGCGGCTAACGCCTGTAATCCCAGCACTTTGGGAGGCCGAGCAGGCGGATCACGAGGTCAGGAGATGGAGACCATCCTGGCTAACACGGTGAAACCCGTCTCTACTGAAAATACAAAAATTAGCCAGGCATGTGAATGTGCGCCTGTAATCCCAGCCACTTGGGAGGCTGAGGCAGGAGAAATGCTTGAACCTGGGAGGTAGAGCTTGCAGTGAGCTGAGATCGCGCCATTGCACTCCAGCCTGGGTGACAGAGACTGTTTCAAAAAACAAACAAACAAAAGCAGATATTTGCACACCCATGTTCGTCGCATCGGTATTCACAATGGCTAAAACAGGCCGGGCGCGGTGGCTCACGCCTGTAATCCCAGCACTTTGGGAGGTCAAGGCGGGCGGATCACCTGAGGTCAGGAGTTCAAGACCAGCCTGGCCAACATGATGAAAACCCGTCTCTACTAAAAATACTAAATTTAGCCGGGCGTGGTGGTGGGCTCCTGTAATCCCAGCTACTCCGGAGGCTGAGACAGGAGAATCACCTGAACCTGGGAGGCGGCGGTTGCAGTGAGCCGAGATCCTGTCACTGCACTCCAGCCTGGGCAACAGAGGACAAAATACTGTAGGATTCCACTGATATGACGTACCTGGAGTCAGGAGAGCCACAGAGACAAATGGTAGAATGGTGAGTGCCAGGGCCTGGGGTCTATTGTTTAGTGGCTATGGTTGCTGTTGGGAGTGATGAGGTCGTCTGGAAAATAGTGATGACGGTGCACAGTATTGTGAATGCATGAATGTACCTAATGCCACCAAACTTAACACATGAAAGTGGTTAAGTGGTCAATTTTATAGTATGTATCATTCAGCACACAGACCAGCACGGCTCTAAGTGCAGATGCGGTAGGTCACGGCCACACACACCGGAGCCACCTGCCAGCGGCCTGCTGGCAGCTTTTCAGTCTGAGGGGCAGCCCAGACGTGATGTCTGGCCGGGCGTGGTCCCCAGTCTTCGAGCCTTAGAGGGTGGGACTGGGTGTCCCAGCAGGAATCGGGGTGTGGAGGAGCTGCCTAGATGGTCTAGAGAGAGCAGATAGACCTTGAGAGGAGGGTTTGGGCTCAGCAGCCCCTCACCCTTGCTGGCCTGGCTCCCAGGATTCCCTGCCCAGGGACCTCTCACCCCCTCAGCTGGTGGCTCTGCAGCCAACCTGCCCGTCTGTCCCGCTCCGGGGATGGGCAGAGAGAGACTGGGGGTGTCTGCAGAGGCATGGCCAGCCTAGGCCCACTTGCCCCTTGGGTGACCTACTGTATCCTGCACAGGCTGACGAGGGCCCTGGTGATAACGGACCTTGGGGGCCTCCTGCAGAAGCTGTACCCCTTAACATGTCAGGTTGCTGTGCCAGTGAAGGGGCGGCCAGCCCCTCTACACCTGTGGGTATTTCTCGTCAGGTGGGACGAGAGACTGAGAAAATAAATAAGACACAGAGACAAAGTATAGAGGAACAACAGTGGGCCCAGGAGACTGGTACTCAGCATACAGAGGGCCTCCACCAGCACTAGCCTCTGAGTTCCCTCAGTATTTGTTAATTACTGTTTTCACCATCTCAGCACGAGGAGTGTGGCAGGAGAGCAGGGTGATAGTGGGGAGAGGGTCAGCAAGAAAACGTGTGAGCAAAGAAATCTGTGTCACAAATAAGTTCAAGGGAAGGTCCTGTGCCTGGATGTGCACGTAGGCCAGATTTATGCTTCTCTGCACCCAAACATCTCAGTGTAGCAACGAGTAACAGCAGCATTGCCGCCAGCATATCTCGCCTCCAGTCACAGGGCAGTTCTCTTCTGTCTCAGAATAGAATGAATGTACAATCGGGTTTTACACTGAGACATTCCGTTCCCAGGGGCATGCAGGAGACAGAGGCCTTCCTCTTATCTCAACCGGAGAGGCCTTCCTCTTTTACTCATCCTCCTAATCACAGACCCTTTACTGGTGTCCGGCTGGGGGATGGTCAGGTCTTCCCTTCCCATGAGGCCCTATCTCAGGCTGTCTCAGTGGGGGGAGACCTGGACAATACCCAGGCTTTCTTGGGCAGAGGTCCCTGCGGCTTTCTGCAGTGCATTGTGTCCCTGATTAATCGAGAATGGAGAATGGCGATGACTTTTACCAAGCATACTGCCTGCAAACACATTTTTAACAAAGCACATCCTGCACAGCCCTAAATCCCCTAAACCTTGAGACAATACAGCACATGTTTCTGTAAGCACAGGGATGGGGCTAAGGTTACAGATTAACAGCACAGGCCTAGATCCCTCAAACCTCGCTTCCATACAGCACACGTTTCTGTGAGCACAGGGATGTGGGCAGGGGCCTGTGGCCACCCTCACCCCCGGCAGAGCCATGCTGGCTAGCCCCATGCCCACTCTTCCTGGCTTGGGACGCCCTGGCTGCTGCCCAGAAGGGGCATCAAGGCCTGGGCCATGGACAAGAGGGGAAGTGGCTTCCTTGGAAACCCTGCCCCTGGAACCCTCCCTGAGGCTCTGGCCCCTCTGTGGGCCCAGCCAAGCCTGCGGCGTCTCCAGGCCCTGGTGTGCTTGGAGAGCTGGCTGGCCACTCTCGGCCTAGCTGGCGTCTCCAGAGCTGCGATCCTGGGTGAGGGTTGCTGGTGGAGCTCTGACCACTTAAGGCGCCCGAGGGAGCCAGAGGAGCAAAGGTGTGGGGTGGCGGACGCCATGGAGCACTTCCACATCCAAGGAGGGCTGCAGCTTCTCCTCACCCCGTCCTGTGGGGGTCCCGGCAGGCAGCCCCGGAACTGTATAGGGATGGGACAGGGCCCAGATGTGAGACCGTGGTGGGGATGGTGTGTGGCCCTGGATGACCTCGTGTTGCAGTGTGACATGATGATCACTGCCACCATGCTGAGGGCCCCAGCCACCAGTCACCCACCATGGGAGTGCGTCGGCGTCAGGCGGGGGGGCCGTGGCGTGAGGGGCTGTGGAAGTGGCTGGTCTTCCCCACTCAGCCACACACAGGATGGGCATGGCAGGGTCATGCTGGCCAAGGGCAGTCTTGGGAGAGGGACAGAGTAACTCTCTTTCTGTCTGTAGCTGAGTCCCTGCTGCTTCTGCACCTGTTCTGGGCCTGGCTAGTGGCCCATGTACATCCCCAGCAGGACTCCACGTGGCTGGTCTGGCACTCACCACTATGGCCTCCTCACCCACGCCCTGGACTGGATTCTGGGGAAATGTGACTTCTTCCATCCTTTGGGCGCTCCCCAGGGAGGAGGCCCCAGCTCCCAGCAGAGGTCTCTGGTCCCCCCTTGTCCCTGCAGGGCTGTGTGGGCAAACTGGGTGCCAGTCGGAAGGGCAGGTGGCGATCCCAGCTCTTGGGAGCTACACGGCCACATCCGGGTCCTGCCCAGACCCTCCAGGGGCACCCCACACTTCTGCCCCCTGCGAGGCCCCGCCCCCCACCTGCCCAGCCCCTGTTGTCGCTTAGACAAACCCTGGGTCGCTTTCTTCGGGCGCCATCACTCTGTTTAGGACCCTTTCCCTCCCGCCCTTAGGGGCAGCAGAACGGTCCCCGCTTTCCTGGCCCTGCCTTAGAGTGGGACACCTGCCAGGGGCAAGTGCTGGGGAGGCTTGGCCGGCACAGCAGGGACTCGCCCTAGCGCAGCTCCGGATGGGGCCGCGGTTGGAGGACGAGCCAGTGGGGCGGGAGGCCGTGGAGATGGCCCAGGGACCCGGACCCCCAGGGGCCCTCGGCTTCCCCGCGCCGTGCCCGGGAGGGACCCCTGGGCAGCGGCCATGGGGCGCGGGGTGTTGGGGGGCACAGTCCCCGGCGCGGCGCTGAAGCAGCGACTGCACAGGCGCCCCACGGCGACGGTCCCCATGGGGACAGCGGGCGCCGGGAACACGTGGGGCCTGGAGGGAGGAGCGCGCCCCGGCGGCCCCGTGACCCCGCCCACGTGACGGGCGCCCGCGGAAGGCGACATGGGCTCCGCTGCTTGGGCCCCGGTCCTCCTGCTGGCGCTCGGGCTGCGCGGCCTCCAGACGGGGGGTGAGTGGCGGCGCCCCCAGTCCATTCCCCGTCCCCATCCCCATCCCCGGCCCGGCGCCGCCTCTGAGGTCCGCGCCCCGCCACAGCCCGCAGCGCCCCGGACCCCGGCTTCCAGGAGCGCTTCTTCCAGCAGCGTCTGGACCACTTCAACTTCGAGCGCTTCGGCAACCAGACCTTCCCCCAGCGCTTCCTGGTGTCAGGTGAGACCCCGGCCCCGGCCCCGGCCGGCCGCCCCCCAGCACCCCCGCCTCACCCGCCCTCCCCACAGACAGGTTCTGGATCCGGGGCGAGGGGCCCATCTTCTTCTATACCGGGAACGAGGGCGACGTGTGGGCCTTCGCCAACAACTCGGGCTTCATCGTGGAGCTCGCGGCCGAGCAGGGGGCTCTACTGGTCTTCGCGGAGCACGTGGGTGCCGGGTGGGGTCGCAGGCGGGGTCGCGGAGCACGCGGGTGCCAGGCGGGGTCGCGGGCGGGGGTCTGGTCTTCGCAGCACGTGGGTGCCGGGTGGGGTCGCAGGCGGGGTCGCGGAGCACGCGGGTGCCAGGCGGGGTCGCGGGCGGGGGTCGCGGAGCACGCGGGTGCCAGGCGGGGTCGCGGGCGGGGGTCGCGGAGCACGCGGGTGCCGGGCGGGGTCGCGGGGAGGGCTCCATGGCATGTTCCCCCCAGCGCTACTACGGGAAGTCGCTGCCGTTCGGTGAGCGGTCCACGCAGCGCGGGCACACGGAGCTGCTGACGGTGGAGCAGGCCCTGGCCGACTTCGCAGAGCTGCTCCGCGCGCTACGGCGCGACCTCGGGGCCCAGGACGCCCCCGCCATCGCCTTCGGTGGAAGGTGGGCGCCTCCCCCGGTCTCCGCACACCCTCCCTCCCCTGCCCCGACCCAACGACCCCAGCCCAAGCCCCACTGTTTGCAGAGGTGGCTGCGCGCTGGCCCGGCCTCTCCCCTCTGACTCCCACCGCTGCCTTTTTCTAAGGCCTCAGGCAGGGGTTCCAGGCTTAGTGTTGCCTCCTCCAGGAAGCCCTCCCAGCCTGTCCTCCCAGCCACCTGCTTAGCTGGGATGTGCTGGCCACACTAGTGGCCTTTCCCAGTGAGGGCTGCACCCGCACCAGACCCAGGGTCAGAATTTGTGGGTCTCAGAAGTGTCGTCCTCCTTGTGGGACCTGTGGGCCCCTGAGGAGGGAAAGAGATTGAAATGGGGTGTTGGGGGCAGCAGCCCTAACCTTGTATCCCTCGCTTAGTTATGGGGGGATGCTCAGCGCCTACCTGAGGATGAAGTACCCCCACCTGGTGGCAGGGGCACTGGCAGCCAGCGCGCCCGTTCTAGCTGTGGCAGGCCTCGGCGACTCCAACCAGTTCTTCCGGGATGTCACGGCGGTGAGTGAGGCTTGGGGTCCTCCAGGCCCCCTAAGGGACAGCGGCTGCAGTGAGCATGGTCTCTTTCCCCCAGGACTTTGAGGGCCAGAGTCCCAAATGCACCCAGGGTGTGCGGGAAGCCTTCCGACAGATCAAGGACTTGTTCCTACAGGGAGGTGAGGCCCCCCCACTGCCCCCAACTGCCTGACCCGCCCCAGCACCTGCTATGTCCAAGGCTTGAGTCTCCGCCCCTTCCATGCAGCCTACGACACGGTCCGCTGGGAGTTTGGCACCTGCCAGCCACTGTCAGACGAGAAGGACCTGACCCAGCTCTTCATGTTCGCCCGGAATGCCTTCACCGTGCTGGCCATGATGGACTACCCCTACCCCACCGACTTCCTGGGTCCCCTCCCTGCCAACCCTGTCAAGGTGAGGTGCCTTCTCCCGGGGCACAGGGAGAGGCCGGCTGGAGCGTCCCGAGGCTGGTGGCCAGCGGCCTGACCCTCATCCTGGGAGCCAGGGAGGCGGAGCTGGTGGAGGGGACCCCGCTGAGTTGCTGCTGCCCCCGCACCCCAGGTGGGCTGTGACCGGCTGCTGAGTGAGACCCAGAGGATCACGGGACTGCGAGCGCTGGCAGGTGCCCTTCCCCCGGCCCCAGATGGGCAAGTGTGGAGACCCCAGGCTTGGCTTGGGTCCTGGGGCCGGGTGGGGTGAGGATCCGTAGCTCAGCCAGGGGCTCTGCCTCCTGCTCCAGGGCTGTGGTGGGCTGGACAGCACGACCTTCCCAGAAGCCCTGGGGGAGGCAGTGGCCATCCTTGGGGACTCTCCCAGCACTGGCTGTAGCCAGGTCCAGCTTGGTGGGTGCTGATCAAGGGGACCCTGGAGTCCCCAGGCACGGAGGGCAACAGAGGGCGGCAGGCCCCACCCTGCCCCGTGGGGAGCGGGAGGGCCCTCAATAGTCAGGCCCAGGGCTGGCAGCACAGACCCCACTGACCTCCAAGCAGGTAGCCTGGAGGGCCTTCCTCACTGGGACACAGATCCCAGAGCCCCAGACCCCCTGCAGGACCCTTCCGAGGGGGGACAGGTTGGTGGCCGGAGCCCGCAGTGTGTCTGTGTGTGGCTGCTGGGTCCCAGCGCCTCTCCTCCCCAGGGCTGGTCTACAACGCCTCGGGCTCCGAGCACTGCTACGACATCTACCGGCTCTACCGCAGCTGTGCTGACCCCACCGGCTGCGGCACCGGCCCCGATGCCAGGGCCTGGGACTACCAGGTGTGGGGTTGTGGGTGGCTTGGAACCACTTGGGGCACGGGCAGGCGTGGGCTGGCCTGACTCAGGCTGGGGTACCTGCAGGCCTGCACCGAGATCAACCTGACCTTCGCCAGCAACAATGTGACCGATATGTTCCCTGACCTGCCCTTCACGGATGAGCGCCGCCAGCAGTACTGCCTGGACACCTGGGGCGTGTGGCCCCGGCCCGACTGGCTGCTGACCAGCTTCTGGGGGGGCGGTAAGGCTGGGGCGGGGGCGGGGCAGCGTCCTGCTCTCTGCCCTGAGTTCTCCACCCCCTGCCCACGGCTCACAGCCCCCACGAGGGGCCACATCACCACTTTCTCTGCCCCTTGCAGATCTCAGAGCCGCCAGCAACATCATCTTCTCCAACGGGAACCTGGACCCCTGGGCAGGGGGCGGGGTGAGTCCTGGCCTGGGCCCTGTGACCCCGTTAGGTTGTTTGGTTTCTTTGGAGACAGGGTCTTGCTCTGTCGCCCAGGCTGGAGTGCAGTGGGATCAGGGCTCACCGCAGCCTCAACCTCTGAGGCTCAAGCCTCCCAGTAACTGAGGCTACAGGCGCTCACCACCATGCCCAGCTAATTTAAAAAAACGTTTTTTGGCTGGGCGCGGTGGCTCAAGCCTGTAATCCCAGCACTCTGGGAGGCCGAGACGGGTGGATCACGAGGTCAGGAGATCGAGACCATCCTGGCTAACACGGTGAAACCCCGTCTCTACTAAAAAATACCAAAAAAAAAAAAAAAAAAAACTAGCTGGGCGAGGTGGCGGGCGCCTGTAGTCCCAGCTACTCGGGAGGCTGAGGCAGGAGAATGACCTGAACCTGGGAGGTGGAGCTTGCAGTGAGCTGAGATCCGGCCACTGCACTCCAGCCTGGATGACAGAGCGAGACTCCGTCTCAAAAAACAAAAACAAAAAAAAAAAACAAAAAAAAACTTTTTTTGTAGAGACACAGTCTCACCGTATTGCCCAGGCTGTTCTGGAACTCTTGGGCTCAAGCGATCTCCCTGCTCAGCCTCCCAGAGTGCTGGGATCACAGGCCCCTCGCCCGGCCCCTACCCTACCCCTGTCTTACCCAGTTGTGCCCCACCTCGTCACTTCCCACCTCCCTCTCTGGCTGGTTCTCTCTCTGGTTGCTTGGCGGACGCTGATTCTCGACTCCGCCCTCTCACGTCTCCTGTCCAATGGGTCCACGGAGGCTGGGCAGTGGCCCTATTCCTTCACCTGATGGAATTCTTTCTGCTGACCACAGATTGGGAGGAACCTGAGTGCATCAGTCATTGCCATCACCATCCAGGGGGGCGCGCACCACCTCGACCTCAGGTGTGGAGGGAGGTGGCCCCGCAGTGGTCGCGGGTTGGGCGGGACAGGCCCACCGAGGGCTGGGGCTGATGGGCCCCCTCCGTGCCCGCTCCCCAGAGCCTCCCACCCCGAAGATCCTGTTTCTGTGGTTGAGGCACGAAAGCTGGAGGCCACCGTCATCGGCGAGTGGGTAAAGGCAGCCAGGCGTGAGCAGCAGCCAGCTCTGCGTGGGGCGTCCGGACTCAGCCTCTGAGCACAGGACTGGAAGGGTCTCAAGGCTCCTCATGGAGTGAATGGAGGGAGGAGGAGGCTGCCCCAGCCCTGCCCTGTGTTTGCACCTTCTGGGTCCCCAAAGCTCAGCCCACTGTGGCCGGCCCATCGTGTGGGCTTCACTCAAGAAGCAGCTGGAGGCACAGGGAAGGAGCTGAATAAATGCCTGGAAGCCTGGCCATGTATGTCCCCTTCCTCTCTGTGAGGCCCACATGCAGGCTGGGGGAGTGGGACCTTCAGAGACAGGGCAGGGGACGCGGCGCACCCCGCACAGGCCAGGGTGGGCACTGCCCCCCAAGGAAGCCTCACTCGGCTGAGCTGCGGCAGACGGAGGCGGCAGCCACACCTCCAAGGTGACTCCTTCCTTGACATCCTCTGTACACAGCGACCCCTCCAGGGGAGGCCACTGGACAGTGCTTTTGGCCCCCAAGGGGCAGGCAGTTGCTGTCCCCTCCCCTCTGGGGCCACGCCCCCAGCACATTAGTCTCAGAGGTCCAGGTGAGATGGAGAAGGTGCAGATTTTCCGGCTGTTCAGGCCCCATCCGCTGCCCTAATCCTGCCCGTTCAGCTGGCCATGGGGCACCCGGTCCAGGAGGGCAGCGCTGGTCTCACCGTGACAAGGGGCAGGCTAGGGTGGTGCTGGGCCCCTGTGACAAGGGGCAGCGCTGGTCTCACCATGACAAGGGGCAGTCTGGGGCAGCGCTGGGCCCCCCATGAGAAGGGGCAGGCACCAGGGCCGCATCGCAGCTGCTGTTCTCACCTTTCCAGGCCCACAGGAAGGAGTGCAGGGTCAGGGCCCAGCGTGAGGCAGGAGAGGAAGCCCCATGACGCCCACTGTCCCCAGGAGGACACAGGTGGCTGCTGTGGGATGTTGGGAGTTGTGGGGACAGAGCTGAGGCCCACACTCCGGGCCCGGACCTCCACAGTGGGGCACAAGGCCGGCAATCCTGGGCTGGGTCCAGGTAGCCCTGCCCTGTGCTGCCACCAGCTCTGGCTTCCCAGGGAGGGGAAGTCTTCCGAAGTGAAGGTGACGGATTTTTCACAGGAGAGAGTGGAGGGGTGCGGCCCTAAGAGGTCACCTGGTTCACGGTCGGGGGTACTCAGCCAAGGCCCAGGGTCAGCCCTGGGATAGAGACAGCAGTAGAGTGATGATGAGGATGACTCTGCCACCACAGCCCAGGGCTCGGGGCCACAGCCATGCCAGGCCACTGGGAGCTGCCTGACCCGAGGGCCCACGTTATCCCTTAGCTGTGCACCTCAGTGCCAGCCCTGCAGGAAAGCAGGCCGTGTGAGACGCAGGAGCAAGGACGCCTCCCTCCAGGCATCTGCCCCACGGGGCCAGGGACACGGAGCTTCCCCAGGGCCTCTCTCTGCCCCCCAGCAGGGGACAGCTGGAGTCCAGTCTCAGCAAACTGAATTCTGAGACATGACCTGAAGAATAGCTTCTCCCCAACATCCACCCAGACATTCCAGTCACGGAGACCCCTGTAGACACAGCAGACACACGGTTAGAGCAAATCAACTTTTATCTCCACCGAAAAGACCCATTCCACTGGAGGGGCCTGTGAGCCAGATGGACTTGCCGTCCAGCCCTCCAAGCCCGCTGTGGGGTGGCCAGGAGGATCCCTGAGTCCAGCTTGTAAACACCAGAGCCAGCCCTGGAGCCTCGGGCCTGTGGGGTCACAGCAGCCCCTGCAGACCCTTGGGTTGGGGACATCTGAGGCTTCACAAGCCTGGGCAGAGCTGCACCCTGGGCTGTCCAGTCAGTCACCACAGTACCAGGGACCACCTCGAAGCCCACTGTGGTCGGCCCACAGAGACCTGCTCAGGCTTCAGTAATCGTGAGTCATGATTCGTGTTTTCTGGAAGAGGCAGGCAGAGGCTCCAGGGGCCCGGCCCACCCCGCCCCACACAAAGACTGCGGCTCTCACTCAGCCTCACGGTGTCCTGATGAAAGAGAGATGAGGGGAGCCCAGAGCCAGCTCAGAGCCCGGGCCACTCAGCGGCTGCTGGCACCATGTGGGCCTTTGGAAAATGCCACAGACCCAGCCAGGCGCCTCCGCCCACCCGAAGTCCCCACGCCAGCAGCCGCCCCCCCTAGGCAGGGGTCCAGATGGGCAGAGGGTGGGCTTCGGTGTTGAACACGTAGGCATCCAGGCTGAGCAGGTTTGGGTCGTCAGAGAAGAGCAAGAACAGATACTTGAGAGTCTCCCCCAGGAAGAAGCTCTCCATCTTGTCCCTGGGCTCGGGCTTCTGAGGATCCTGGACGTTGTTGATGGAAGAATAGCCGCCCGAGGGGACCTGCGCAACAGCCAGGGCCTCGTCACCAGACGGGGGGCACCCTGCACCCCCCTCAGCCTCATCACCGAAGCGCCCTCCACCTCATGGTGAACGCGGCCCCCAGCGCAGGCTCGGGGTGGAGGGTGCCTCGACAGTGGCCACCCCTGGGCGAGCTGTGGTTCCACCAGAGCCCACCGGGAGACGCCAACAACCCTCAAGCGACCGCGACAGACACCGCCTCCCCAGAACCTGCGCTCAGGGCCTCACAGCTGCCTCACAGGACACAGGGCAGACGGGAGCTGAGGCAGCAGGGCCCTCAGACCAAGGTGAGAGCAGAGCCAGGAGGTGACTCAGGCCTCATCTGGCTCCAACGTGGAGGGCATGACCTGAAACGGGGCCTGGCCCACAGTGGGGATGGCGCTGCAATCATGGGTGCCTCCTGAATTGGGGGGATGCTGGGCCCACAGAGGGGATCCTCCCCAGATAGGTCCTGAGAGATGACTGAGGGGTGCCCGGCCCCTCTGAGTACCCGGGTCCCGCACACGATGAAGCTCAGTGGGGATGGGGATGCCGGGGCCCCCAGGCTGCAGTGTGGCCACCCTGAGGCTGCAGCAAGCCCACCCTCCCCAGCCCCAGTGACAGCCACCACCAAGGGCGGGGCCAGCCCGAGCCCCACAGCCCAGCTGTGTCTGTGGCCCGGTGGCCACGACCACAGGGGGTGAGGACAGACACTCACCCGCGTGAACCGGCTGAAGCTCTGCAGAATCTCCCAGCCCCAGTCCTGGTACTTGCGGTCCCCTGTGACGCGGTACAGGTAGAACAGGCTCTCCACGGTCTCTGGCCGCAGCAGGTTGTGCCTGTCTGCCGGCTGTGGGCAGAGCAGAGCTCAGGGCGAGGCCAGCCCTGCTAGCACCCTCCTCCTGACGGACCCCGACCCAGGCCCAGGCCCACCTTGACCTCCACGTCCCGACGGCCCGGCTGGGGATAAAGGTTGAAGTGCACGATCTCGGGACTCAGCCCCGTCTCCATCTGCCGGTTCATCTGATAACAAGTCTCCATGAGCTCCCGGGCCAGCTCCATGTGGCTGGCGGGCAGGCCGTGGTAGACGCCCAGAGCCAGCGTCCCTGGCAGGAAGCACACCAGGTGGTCCTGGAACCAGAGGGTCTCTTCAGCCCCAGATCCCAGGCCCGGCCCTCAGCCTGCAGCTGCACTGGCAGCCAACGTGGGGGCCCAGTGCTGCCTCGACCCCGGTACCCTGGGAGGGGAGGCCATGCGAGGGCACTTGACATGAACAGTGGAGCCGCCTGGGCCAGGCCCTCCAACCTGGCCCCCACACACCACCCAAGGACCTGCTACACACCGGGCACGGGAATGGCTGGGGGAGGGAGCTGCTCTGGGGAAGCCCTGCCCACCCCAGGTGCCACACAAGGCCTCGCTGCCCTGTTGCCAAGACAGGCCTGGCCAGGCAGCCATGGTCTACCTAGGGCCTCCACGTGGGCGCCATGGCCAGGATTTCGTTGTTCTTTTTGACATCACGACTCAGGAACCATGGAAGCCAAGGTAAAAGGGGCGGTGGCCGGAAGTCCCCATGGACACACTCACCATCTTGGCACTGAAGCGGCCGTGGGCAAGTTCCCCCACAAAGGTGAGCTTACTGGGCTCAGAGTGCCGCAGCAGGTGTGTCCGGACCCCCTCAATGGCTTCCACGTAGTCCTCCAGCAACCTGTGGACACCAGCAGTCACCTCACTCTACCAGGATGGTGCATGGGTCCTGGGTGGCGCCAGGGACAGGCACATGCTGGGCCCACACAAGCACAGCAGGCCTGGCCCTTGCTGGACAGAAGGTGCCACCCTGCACAGCCCATGGCCCTCAGTGACGATGCCCCCCTCACCCCCGCCGAGGCCACGGTGAGAAGTGAATGAATACGCTCCCCACAGAAATGCCTGGGCCAGGCCTGGCATGGCTGCGGTTTTCTGACCCACAGTGGGGCGAGGGGCAGCAGGAGCTGGGGGGCCACGGGAGCTGGGGGGCCGCGGGAGCTGGGGGCCACGGGAGCTGGGGGCAGGGCCGGGCCTCACTGTGTCTCCTGCTTCCCGCCCTGGATCCACTGCTTCAGCAGGTACTCATAGTAGCTGTCGGCCCTGGCGCCCAGCGTGAACACACCCAGGTGGGTGAAGAGGCCGCTGTGGGTGTTGATGAACATGGGCACTAGCCCGTCCTTCTTCCCAGACAGGCCGTGGATGTGCTGCGTCACCTTCTCCACGGCCTCCTGCGGCAGAAAGGGGTACAGTGCGTTTACTGCCTGGGGTGAGCTGTAGAGGGCTCTGTGAGCTATGCCTCCCCTCGCCCTAGCACCGACTGACTCCCAGCAGAGAGAGCTCTGTGCCCGGCCCACAGCTGTCCTTGCCCACATGGCTCCTGGTGGCCACACGACACAGCCACACAGCCACCAGTGCAACACACCTGAATGTCACTGCTCCTGACGGGCGGTCACCACAGAGCTGACCCGTCTTCAGGATGGCTCTCATCCCTTACTCGAAGGGACAGCATCTGACAATCACAGGCACTGTCCTCACAAGAGCCTGCCAGACCTGGCCGTCAGCCACGGCTCTGGAGGGACGGCAAGTGTGCCTGCCTTCTGAGCCCAGTGTTGCTCCTGATGATATGAAACACCCGGCTCCACGCCCTCCTGGTGAGCTCCCACTCGTCCTCCAAGTCACAGCCACCCTCAGCTCCTCAGGGCTCACACCCAGCCAGCAGCACCAGGCGTCCTGGCCCACAGTGGGGCACACGGTACCGGGAGGTCAGGGCACGCCCAGCAGGGGCTCTCCAGGTCTCTACCCAACGCAGACACCCAAACCCATGCCAAGCGCCTTCACGGCCTGGCTGCTTATCCCTGTGTACCTACAGCAACCAGAGGCCCTGGTGACGTGGGGGTGCCCATGGGCGCCTGGGGCCATTTTCTGAGCTGCAGTGGAAACGCCTTCTAAACGTCTGCATGGGAGCCTCACGTGGATGGTGTGGGCTGCACTTCTCCCCACAAGTGGTCACAGTTGCTCTAAAGAGGGATGTGTTCAGCTCATGAATAAGAACAAGGATTCGAACGTAAGGCCAAATGCATGAGCAACAATAAACAGACCAGCTGTGCTTCATGAAAATGATCATCTGTTATCTATCAAAATATACCATTAACAAAGTAAAAAGAGACCCGGGACAGTGGCTCACACCTGTAATCCCACCACTTTGGGAGGCCAGAGTGATAAGATTGCGTGAACCCAGGAGTTTGAGACCAGCCTGGGCAACATGGCAAAATGCTGTCTCTACAAAAGAGAGACAGGGGTTTTCTAAATAAAATTTTAACTAGCTTGGTGTAGCTGCGAGCTCCTGTAGTCCCAGCTACTCAGGAGGCTACTGCACTCCAGCCTAGGCAACTGAGTGAGACCTTGTCTCTCAAAAACAGAAAACAAAAATCAAAGTAAAAACAAAACTTCTAATATGGAGTGACTATACAGAATGAAGAACTCCTACAATTCAACAAGACAAACTATCTAATTAAAAAAACAGGCAGTGGGCCAGGTGCGGTGGCTCACGCTTGCAATTCCAGCACTTTGGGAGGGTGAGGTGGGTGGATCACCTGAGGTCAGGAGTTCGAGACCAAACTGGCCAATATAGTGAAACTCCGTCCCTACTAAAAATACAAAAATTAGCTGGACGTGGTGGCATGCGCCTATAATCCCAGCTACTTGGGAGGCTGAGGCAGGAGAATCACTTGAACCCAGGAGGAAAAGGCTGCAGTAAGCCGAGATCATGCCACTGCACTCCAGTCCAGGCAACAGAGATAGACTCTGTCTCAAAACAAAAAAACAAAAAACAAAACCAAAAAAAACACCAGGTTGTGAACCTATGAATTACGTTGAGTTTAAAAAAAAAAAAAAAAGGCCGGGTGCAGTGGCTCACGGCTGTAATCCCAGCACTTTGGGAGGCCAATGGGTGGATCACCTGAGGTCAGAGGTCAGTTCCAGACCATCCTGGCCAACATGGTGAAACCCCATCTCTACTAAAAGTACAAAACAACAGCCAGGTGTGGTGGTGGGTGTAGTCCCAGTTACTCGGGAGGCTAAGGCGAGAGAATCGCTCGAACCTGGGAGGTGGAGGTTGCAGTGAACCGAGATCGTGCCACGGCACTCCAGACTGGGTGATATAGCAAGGCTCCGTCTCAAAAAAAAAAAAAAAAAAAAAAAGACAAACGACTTGAACAGGCATTTCTCCAAGAAGATGCACAAATGGCCAATAAGCACATGAACTAATCCCCAGCCCTGTTCGTCACTTGGGAAAAATGCACATCAAAACCACTATGTGAGGGCCATGGGGATGGCCACTGCCCACAAAACAGAAAGCAGCGAGTGCTGGCGAAGGCATGGAGGCTGAGCCCTGGACACTGCTGGTGGGAATGTGACATGGTTTCGCCACTGTGAAAAAATTATTGAGGTGGGGCCTCAATAATTAAACAATGAATTACCACGTGATCCAGCAATTCCATTTCTACTACTCAAAAGAACCAAAGCAGAGCCACAGGCAGGTGTGTGCACACGCGCTTCCAACAGCCAAAATGGCATAGCCCTGGCGGAGGGAGGAGTCAACAAAAGTGGCGTGGTCACACATCAGATATTCAGCCTTAAAAAGGAATTTCTGAAGCGTCTTCGCGTATGAAGCTTAAAGACGCTGAGCTGAGTGAAAGGAGCCCGAATAAAAGGACAAATCAGCCAGGTGTAGTAGCTCACGCCTGTCACCCTAGCAGTGTGGGAGGCCAAGGCGGGTGGATCATGAGGTCAGGAGTTCGAGACCAGCCTGGCCAACATGGTGAAATCCTGTCTCTACTAAAAACACAAAAATTAGCTGGGCGTGAGGGCACACACCTATAATCCCAGCTACTTGGGAGGCTGAGGCAGGAGAATCGTTTGAACCTGGGAGGCGGAGGTTGCAGTGAGCTGAGACTGCGCCATTGCACTCCAGCCTGGGTGATAGAATGAAACTCCATCTCAAAAAAAGGAAAAAAGAAAGGACAAATCGTGTGTGATTCTACTCACACGAGGAACTCCACACAGTGAGGTCCAGGGATAAAAAGCTGAACAGTGTTTTCCAGGGACTGGGGAGGGACATGAGGGGTCACTGTGTGATGGGGAAGAGGAGCTTCAGTTTTAAGATGAAAAGGGTTCTGGAGATGAAGGTGATGGCTGCAGAACAGCATGAATGTGTGTAACGCCACCGACCTGTATGCTGGCAACAGCGTGAATGTAACACCACCGACCTGCACACCTGCAACAGCGTGAATGTGTGTAACGCCACCGACCTGTATGCCTCCAACAGCGTGAATGTGTGTAACGCCACCAACCTGTATGCCTGCAACAGTGTGAATGTGTGTAATGCCACCGACCTGTATGCTGGCAACAGCGTGAATGTAACACCACCAACCTGCACGCCTGCAAGAGTGTAAATGTGTGTAACGCCACCGACCTGTATGCCTGCAACAGTGTGAAGGTAACACCACCAACCTGCATGCCTGCAAGAGCGTGAATGTAACACCACCGACCTGTATGCCTGCAACACCGTGAATGTGTGTAACGCCACCGACCTGTATGCCGGCAACAGCATGAATGTGTGTAACGCCACCGACCTATATGCCTGCAACAGCGTGAATGTGTGTAATGCCACCGACCTATATGCCTGCAACAGCGTGAATGTGTGTAACGCCACCGACCTATATGCCTGCAACAGCGTGAATGTGTGTAATGCCACCGACCTGTATGCCTGCAACAGTGTGAATGTAACGCCACCAACCTGTATGCCTGCAACAGCGTGAATGTACCACCACCGACCTGTATGCCTGCAACAGCGTGAATGTAACACCACCGACCTGTATGCCTGCAACAGTGTGAATGTAACGCCACCCACCTGCACGCCTCCAAGAGCGTGAATGTAACACCACCGACCTGTATGCTTGCAACAGCGTGAATGTAACACCACCGACCTGCACGCCTGCAAGAGTGTGAATGTAACACCACCGACCTGTATGCCTGCAACAGCGTGAATGTAACGCCACCGACCTGCACGCCTGCAAGAGCATGAATGTGTAACGCCAGCAACCTGCACGCCTGCAACAGCATGAATGTACCACCACCAACCTGTATGCCTGTAACAGCGTGAATGTGTGTAACGCCACCGACCAGTATGCCTGCAACAGCGTGAATGTGTAACGCCACCGATCTGCATGCCTGCAACAGCGTGAATGTGTGTAATGCCACCAACCTGCACGCCTGCAACAACGTGAATGTGTAACGCTACCAACCAGTATGCCTGGAAATGGTTAAGGTGGCGCGTTTCCTCTGTTTTATCACAATAAAAAACCTGAAAACGAAAACACACACACACACACACACACACACACACACACACAGCACCTGCTGTGATAAGCAAAAGGTGGCTCCAGGGGAGCCACGTCCAGCCAGAAAGCCTGCCCCCTTACCTGAAACTTCTTAGCCCCTGTGAGGCGGGAGAGCTCCCGGAACTCCAGCTGAATGCTGGTCACCTCGGCCACCGTGCTGTCGGAGGTCCACCGTGGCGGGTGCGCGACTCCAGTGCCGATGTTCACATCTGAGTAAGGAATCTTGGATGGTGTTCTGAAGGCAGGCATTAGCCGATTTCCAAAATCCTCCTGGTATACGAGCAGAGCAGAGAACCAACATTTCAAGTCACCCAGAGGCTTCGTCTACATGTCATGACTCTCGCCCCCTTGGCCCTAGTGGAGACGCTGAAGGCTCTCTGGGGCCAACACAGCAGCAAAGGAAACGGGCATCACTGCACTGAGTGAACGTCTCTACAAGGTCAGTGGTGATCAAAGTGGCTGCATCAGCTTACGGATATGGGCTCAGAAACAGACTCCAGTGCGTTTGAAGAGGAAATAGGAAAACAATCACATCCCCACAAGTCCGCTAAAGGGGGAACTCCTTGCATGCGAGTCCACTGTCTCCTTGCAGAACACCCTGAGACACTTACAGCTTTCCTCAGGAAGAGGCTGTCCCCAGACAGGTGGTAGGCACTCAGCAGCCCCCCCAGGATGCGGATCGTGCTCTCAAACAGGTTGACGTCCACGTCCTTTTCAAAGTGTAACTTCTTTGACACCCACTTCCTGGCTTCCTCAAATTCTATAACATAAAACAGTAAAGGATGCAGAGACAAATGGATGGGTCCAGCATTTTCCTATCATCTATCCATCTTCAATCTTTAAAATGCATTTGGCTGGGCATGGTGGCTCACGCCTGTAATCCCAGCACTTTGGGAGGCTCAGGCAAGTGGATAGCTTGAGCCCAGGAGTTTGAGACCAGCCTGGGCAACATGGCAAAACCCCATCTCTACTAAAAATACAAAAATTAGCTGAGTGTGCTGGTGTGTGCCTGTGGTTCCAACTACTGGGGAGGGTGAGGCATGAGAATCGCTTGAACCTGGGAGGCAAAGACTGCAGTGAACTGAGATCGTGCCACTGCACTCCAGCCTGGGCCACGTCGCAAGACTCTGTCTCCAAAAAACTCACATTTGAAACCAGGAGGCGAACGTTGCAATGAGCCGAGATTGCATCATTGCGCTCCAGCCCAGGTAACAGTGTGAAACTCCATCTCAAAAACAAAAGCAAAAACAAAAAAATAAAAAACAAGCCCACATTCTGGGGCATTATCGTTCCCCTGCTGCAGGGCTTCAACATCACCTCCCGTCTCAAGTGGGTAAATCTTGAAGTCTCCAATATTTGTGAATAAAACAGAGTCAGCAGTGCAGTCACTGTGACCACAAATGGGTCACAATCAAAGGCCATGATACAAAAAAATCACACAAGTAATTTACTGGTGGTCTACAACCTATTCAAAAAATTAGGTAAATGTTTAAAATATCGCTTAAATAACTGAAGACACATACTCCCAATTCAAAATGGATGTGCTGGTCTACGAAGGACGCTGCTGAGATCTGGACCCAGCAGGGCCCACAGTCACTCATCCCCACCACCCCCAGGTCCAAGAGCAGCACAGCCTGGAAATGCCCCTTGTACGTCCCCCAAAGAGGCCACGCTCAACTCCTGCAGAGATCTGGGGACAGCTGCCCTGTGTGTGCCCTGGGTGGCTGGAGAAGAACAGGAACTGACCGTAGTCAGCACGTCCACTCCTGCACCCAGGGGAAGGGAAAACCCATGGTCAGATGCAAACCACAGCGTTCACTCCACGTGCAGCCCCCACTCTGCCTTAGCACACGAGGCCCACAAGGAGGGCTCAGCCCCTCCCCAGAAAGCACTAGGTACCTTTCCTCAGACCCAATATCCACATGGTGTCCAGTGCGTCGATCAGTGTGAGACCAAGGCCAAACCACTCGCTGAAGGACCTGGACACAGGCTTCAGCTCGTCGTGGCCCCACGCGAACTTGCGGTATCCTTTCCACGCGTGCAGGAAGACGTCAATCACGCCCTTCTGGCGATAGTTTGGATGCGCTAGTAGGAGAGAGAGAGAGCACAGGCCATGGCGGGCGTGGTCCCAGCATCGGCACAGATGGACACCCTCAGGCAGAGCGCTGCCGTGACCCCCATCGGGCAAAGATGACAGTGAGTTTGGGATGATGGGAAGAGCGGTGGTGGACACAGCAAAGGGCGGGGCCACAGAGGCTGCAGCAGTCCCCAGGGAGAACACAGTCTGCCAAGGGCCTGAGGCCTCCGGAGGCTGCACAGGATGGCACCTGGCACCCGACCACCAGCCTGGGGCCTGCGCACCTCCACCTGGTGCCTGGGCAGGCATGCCCTCCTTGGGCCTCGGTGGCCTCTGGCCAAAGGGACAAGACTGGTTGCCCTAAGGGCGCCGGAACAGCAGAGTGGAGCCTGTGGAGCAGCAGGTGAGCATGGTGCCAACTCAGAATGTGAAACGCTGATGGGTGCAGACCTTGACACGAACACCCTCGACTCACACACACTCATTCTGCCATATGGGCTTCAGGTGCTCCACAGGACTCACACTGCAGACGCATTAGAGTCGCCTTGGTCACTCTTTTTTTAAATGGTATTTTTTTGGTCGGGCGTGGTGGCTCATGCCTGTAATCCCGGTACTCTGGGAGGCTGAGGTGGGCGGATCACCTGAGGTCGGGAGTTTGAGACCAGTCTGGCCAATATGGCGAAACCCCGTCTCTACTAAAAATACAAAAATTAGCTGGGCGTGGTGGCGCGTGCCTGTAATCCCAGCTACTCGGGAGGCTGAGGCATGAGAATCACTTGAACCTGGGAGGTGGAGGTTGCAGTGAGGTAACAGAGCAAGACTTTGTCTCAAATATATATATATACTTTTTTTTGTAGAGATAGGGCCTCACTATGTTGTCCAGGTTGGTCTTGAACTCCTGGACTCAAGCGATCCTCCTACCTCAGCCTCCCAAAGTGCTGGGATTACAAGCGTGAGCCACCACGCCCAGCCAACGTTGACTAATGTGTGGATTGACACGTGTGTAACGGCATCATACCACACGTCCTCTCAGGAAAGGTTCTGAGGCCTCCTCGCGCTCATGGCTTGGCTCTGCCTCTGCCCTCATTAATGCCGCAGAGATTGCTACACATCCCTCACAGGCCTGGGGCTGGGAGTCCCGGCTCTGGGCTCCCTCTCGACTGCGGAGACACCTGGGGGCATGATGAGAGCAGGGTTCCAGACTCAGCGATCTGCCCTGAGTCCCACAGACAAGCAAACGACTCTGGCGGTGGCGGCCCCAGCCCTGGTTTTCCGTTTGGAGAACGGGAGGGTGACCGGTTTACTGTGTCAGAGGGAGTCATGTGTGGGCAGCAAGCCACCCAGGTGCCAAGGCGAGAGACCGAGGGCACGAGCTGTTCTGGTCTAACAAGATATATAAAGTGAGAACAGTTCTACTAGATATAGATCATAGACACGATTATATATGAATATCATTAATCATGAGTTTCCAGCAATTACTCTTTACTCCAATATTATAATAATCCTCGCTCTACAGCTATAACCTAGGAAAAACCAGGTCATACATACATAGGAGCTAAGGGGACATAGTGAGAAGTGACCAGAAGACAGGAGTGTGAGCCTTCTTTATGCCTGGGCAGGGCCACCAGAGGGCTCCTTGGTCTAGTGGTAATGCCAGCATCTGGGAAGACGCCCGTTACCAAGTGGACCGTGGTCTAGCGGTAGCATCAGTGCCAAGGAAAAGTACCCACTACTCAGCGGACCAGGAAAGGGAGTCCCCGTTTCCTGGGGAGGTTCAGAGAAGACTCTACTCCTCCACCACTTGTGGAGGGCTTGACAGTCAGGCCCGCCTGCAGTTATCCGGAGGCCTAACTGTCTCCCTGAGATGCTGTGCTTCAGTGGTCATGCTCCTGTTCTGCCTTCATGTTCCATTCTGTACACCTGGCTCTGCCTTCTAGATATCAGAAGCAAATTAGTGAAAGTACTAAAAACCTCTGATACGAAGAAATAATGGCGTAGGCTGTGTCCTCTCTCTCTGTCTCTCCGCCTCGGCTGCCAAACAGGGAAGGGCCCCCTGTCCAGTGGACACATGACTCTCGTGACCTTGTCAATCATTGGAGATGACTCACACGCCTTATCCTGCCCCTTTTGCCTTGTATCCAATAAATATCAGCGCAGCCTGGCATTCGGGGCCACCACCGGTCTCTGCGTCTTGGTGGTAGTAGTTCCCCGGGCCCAGCTGTCTTTTATCTCTGTCTTGTGTCTCTATTCCTACAATCCCTCGTCTCCGCACACGGGGAGAAAAAGCCACCGACCCTGTGGGGCTGGACACGACAGTCATGAGGCTGAGAGAGGCCGGCATGCACTGAGCTTGGCTGAAGGCCCGCACCTGGGAGGCCCCCAACAAATGGTGCTCAGAATGAAGCGGCCTGCAGAGCGGCCTGGGACTGGCCAGGCCGAGACCAGGGATGCAGCACAGGCAGCAGTCTCCAGGGATCCCATGGGGCAGCCTGGCCCAGACACAAATCTCCCACACACACCTTCTTCTGCAGCCGCATGCTCAGGGACAGCAGGCCAAGAGCCACACGGTGTCACCAAGGTTGCAGAGCCAGTGAGGACTCAGACAGCAGGGGGATGCCGAAGGGCAAGGTGCACACCAGGGCTGGGGGGCCACCCACCACGGCTGAGACGAAGCCTGCACCCATCAGCCACCAGCCCCCGAGCGCCTGGGGAGGAAGGGGTGCAGGCGTGGCCTCACCTGGTGTGCCCTGTGTCCTGGCCGGTGGCAGGGGAGGCTTGGTGGGCACTGCTGCTTTTCTTGAAGGGAGCTCGGTGCCCTGCTCAGGCTCGATCACTGCTCCCCTCCAGCTTCGGGGGAGAAGGAAGGGCGTCAGCTGCCGTCAAACACGTGTGGCTCCGTGTTTCCCATCCCCACGCTCCATACCCACAGCCAAGGCAGGGCCCTGCACCCGTCACGGCCCCATCTTCCTGCGGTGCAGGCTGCTGAGTGGCAGGAAACACACAGTTCAGTCCTGAGCTCCCGTGCCTGAGAGTCAAGACCACAGCACTGCCCCAAGGTCAAGGCTGGCCTGAGGTCAGAGACCAGAGCTTGGAGAATCATGAGAAATACCTCTGCAGAGGCCGGAGGCAGGGGGCCTCTACGGTGGAGATCCAGAGAATCTGTCATCCAGACAGGGGCACTAATGACTGTGAGGTGGCCCCAGGATGCCAGGATGGCCACACGGACGGGGGCTGTCCCTACACACGAGAGGCATGGCCACTCATACTCCCCATCCAGAGTTCCGTCCAGTGGCCATCAGAACAGCTACGACCTCCTAGCTGTGGCTGGGCCTGAGCGTTCTCTTGGGGCCCTGTGGTGAATCTGTCTCAGGCTCAGCGAAAGGCCTCTTACATCCACAGATGGCTTACATGCTGGGAGTACGGATGTGGCACTTTTGACAGGCTGAGGTCACATGATCTTTTGCTATGGAAGTAAAGCCTCCTTGCGTTCACGCCACCACTAACTCGAGCGCAGCGGCCTCGGACCCTCCACTCGAGCGCAGCGGCCTCGGACCCTCCACTTGAGCTCAGCGGCCTCGGACCCTCCACTCGAGTGCAGCGGCCTCGGATTCTCCTCTTGGCAGTGAGGACCGCTCACATGCACACATCCACGCCTCTCACCATGCACCTGAGTTCAGGGCCTCTGGGCCCATTTCTTCAGAGCCCATCTCTCATGGCTGACAGCGCTTGTCTCAGGCCACTCCTGCACAGCAGCCCTCACTGGCCCTGGCTCTGTCCACAAAGCAGAGCTCAGGTCTGGTCCACACTTTGTGGGGGAGAGAGGATGCCTGCGGGGAGCCCTGCCTTCCGCCTCAATTACATCAACTCTGTTTCTAAGAGCGTAACATGGAGCCGGAAATGAGGCTGAGATGCCCCAGCACCGAACGAAGCTTCACTGGGATCCACAACCTGCACCTGCCCAACCAGGCAGAGGATAGCACCCTGGGAGCCTGGGCACTGGGCAACTCCCTCTCCCTCTGCTCTCTGCTCGACCAGATGGGACTCGGGAAAGGAGGTGGCCCAGGCAGCCAGTGTCCACCTCTGAGCCTGGCTCCCCATCCCCACCCACCCGTGCACCCTTCACACCACACGAAATGTTCTGAGACATTATTGCATACCATGAGGACATTATCGGAAACCTAATTTAGCTCTGACCTCCAGTTTTAAAAATTCGATTCTGTAATCTAAGGTTGATGAAGACAGATTATAGAGCGTACACTGTCAGTTTCAAAGGAAAATAGATCTCAGACACAATGTGTTTTCGCGATCTTGTTTTTTGGAATATAAAGGCCTGAGCTGCGGTGTGCAGCCTGCCCTGCGCTCTGTACCTGATGACCGTCCTCTGCGGATCTCCTTCTGGGCGGGGGTCCACAGGCACTTCTTCCCTTTTCACGGCCTCTTCCTGGGTCCCATCCTTCAGGTCTTGGCTGGGGGGTCTAATCTGCAGGTGAGGTGGTCCCCGCTGGACGCGTCTTTGTGATTTCTGCAGAGAAATCAGTCACAAAGGAAATCATGGGGCGCCTGCGAGCTGCCCTTCTTTCCCTCTACGGGACGCCCTCAGGTGCAGCCCACACCTCACTGACTGAGCTTCCACCTCACCTCAGACTAAATTACTTTCGTTTTTCAACACAACAGGCAGCTTCAGAAGACAGCTCCTTAGGAGCCCGGGGACACTGCCGACTGGCTAAATGGCCCCAGGCAAAGCGCTTCAGCCCCTCCCGTGTGGGAATATTTCCAAACTCTCACAGGTCCTAAAGGCTTCATAAGAAAGGGCTGCAGCAAACACCAGCTCCAGCAACAGCTCTGGGTCCCCAGGCCTCCTGCACAGTCATCGCAACATGAGTAAGGCGCCCACATCCTCACTACAAAGCACAAAGCTTCCGATGACATATGGAGCTGGGTTCCCCTTGCCAGGCGCCCCCCTGCTGTGTGATGCGGGTCTTCTGGCCACCCCCCACCGCCCCGTTCCCTGTTTCCACACCTGCAGGCACAGAGCTCCATCCTCTGCTTCCTTCCCCGTGTGAACAGGAGCGTGGGAAAGCTGCAGACCGTATCACAGACCGAGGCTTAGTTCCTCCTGAGTCTAGAGGCAGATTCATTCTCTCCTATGGCCTCAGTTTTCTGTGGTATTGCCAAACCTTGATTTTCATTATTATTATCATAGAGACAGGGTCTCCTTACGTTGCCCAGGCTGGTCTCAAACTCCTGGCCTCATGAATTCCTCCTGCCTTGGCTTCCCAAAGTGCTGGGATGACAGGTTGGAGGCACCACACCCGGCCCAAACCACAATTTTGTACTTCTTTACTGATGGATGTTTAGATTGTTCCACTTTTTTTTTTTTTTTTTTTTTTAAGGAAAGAGTGACTACTTATGGCTGGGCACGGTGGCTCATGCCTGTAATCCCAGCACTTTGGGAGGCTGAGGCAGGTGGATCACCTGAGGTCAGGAGTTCAAGACCAACCTGGCCAACATGGTGAAACACCATCTCTACTCAAAGTACAAAAAATTAGCCAGACATGGTGGCGCATGCCTGTAATCCCAGTCAGAGTCTTGCTTTGTCACCCAGGCCAGAGTGCAATGGTACAATCTTGGCTCACTGCAACTTCCATCTCCTGGGTTCAAGCAACTCTCCTGCCTCAGCCTCCCAAGTAGCTGGGATTACAGGCGCATGTCACCACACCTGGCTAATTTTTGTATTTTTAGTAGAAACGGGATTTCACCATGTTTGCCAGGCTGGTCTCGAACTCCTGATCTCAGGTAATCTACCCACCTCAGCCTCCCAAAATGCTGGGATTACAGGCATAAGCCACTGTGCCCAGCCTGTTTTTGTTTGTTTTTTGAGACCGAGTTTTGCTCTTGTTGCCCAGGCTGGAGTGCAGTGGCGCGATCTTGGCTCACTGCAACCTCTGCCTCCCACGTTCAAGCAATTCTCCTGCCTCAGCCTCCCAAGTAGCTGGGATTACAGGCACCTGCCACCACCACCATGCCAGGCTAATCTTTTGTATTGTTAGTAGAGCCAGGATTTCACCATGTTGGCCAGGCTCGTTTTGAACTCCTGGTCTCAAACAATCCACCCATCTCGGCCTCCCAAAGTGCAGGGATTACAGGCGTGAGCCACCACGCCTGGCCCCAGCCTGTTTTTTTTTCCGCCTGCCTCGGCCTCTCAAAGTGCTGGAATGACAGATGTGAGCCACTAGTTCCACTGTGTGTTTGTCTAGTCTCTTCCCCACCAGGTCGCGCAATCACTGTCCTCTTCATCTCCCTGCTCTTGAGTCCACAGTGGAAGGTCGGAAGAAACTATTAGAATTACATCACTAAGATCATCTAGTCTTAAATCACCATTACGAGGGTCAGGTGCGGTGGCTCACACCTGTAATCCTAGCACTTTGGGAGGCTGAGGCAGGAGGATCACTTGAGCCCAGGAGTTCCAGACCAGCCTAGGTAACAAAGTGAGACCTCACCTCTACAAAAAATCAAAAAGTTAGCCAGGCGTGGTGGCACATCCCTGTAATCCCAGCTATTTGGGAGGCTGAGGCAGGAGAATCACTTGAACCTGAGATATGGAGGTTGAAGTGAGCCAAGACTGTGCCACTGCACTCCAGCCTGGGCAACAAAGTGAGACTCTGTCTTAAAAAAAAAAAAAAAAAAAAAAAATGGCCGGGTGCGGTGGCTCAAGCCTGTAATCCCAGCACTTTGGGAGGCCGAGACGGGCGGATCACGAGGTCAGGAGATCGAGACCATCCTGGCTAACACGGTGAAACCCCATCTCTCCAAAAAAAAAAATACAAAAAACTAGCCGGGCGAGGTGACGGGCGCCTGTAGTCCCAGCTACTCGGGAGGCTGAGGCAGGAGAATGGCATAAACCCAGGAGGCGGACCTTGCAGTGAGCTGAGATCCGGCCATTGCACTCCAGCCTGGGCGACAGAGCGAGACTCCGTCTCAAAAAACAAAAAAAAAAATCACTATGGGTTCAATGATCACAGTTTTATGATCTTGTAGGGATGTTCATCTGAGTTTTAGTTTTATTCCCAAATTTTCAATAGAGGTTTGAATTTTGACAGGGAGTCAATGGATTTACAGATTAATTTAGGGAGAACTTAAATCTTTTATTTATTTATTTATTTTGAGACAGAGTCTTGCTCTGTTGCCCAGGCTGGAGTGCAGTGATGCGATCTTGGCTCACTGCAACCTCCGCCTCCTGGGTTCATGCCATTCTCCTGCTTCAGCCTCCTGAGTAGCTGGGACTACAGGCGCCTGCTACCACGCCCGGCTAATTCTGTTTTTGTGTTTTTAGTAGAGACGGGGTTTTCACCGTGTTAGCCAGGATGGTCTCAATCTCCTGACCTCGTGATCCACCGCTTCGGCCTCCCAAAGTGCTGGGATTACAGGCATGAGCCACCGCACCCAGCCACTTAAATCTTTATAGCACAAGAATAAAATGTCTAATTATTTAGATCTTTTCAAATACCTTGAGTGTTATACTTTTATTCATACTGACTTTATGTATTTTAATATCAGGATTATTCCTGTGAAATTGGTGGCATTCTTTTCTTCTTATTGTGATGGAGATCTCTTTTCTTTTTGTTTTTTGTCAAGACAGAGTCTCACTATCACCCAGGCTGGAACGCAGTGGCGCGATCTCAGCTTGCTGCAACTTCAGCCCCCCAGGTTCAGGCGATTCTCTTGCCTCAGACTCCTGAGTAGCTGGGATTATAGTCACACACCACCACGCCTGGCTAATTTTTGTATTTTTAGTAGAGATGGGGTTTCACCATGTTGGCTCAAACTCCTCACCTCAAACCTCAAGCGATCCGCCTGCCTCGGCCTCCCAAAGTGCTGGGACTACAGGCGTGAGCCACTGCATCCTGCCACGATCTCTTTTCAATAATATTTTCTAACTGATTACTGCTACTACATAGCAAAGTTCTCTAAAACTAATTTCTAAGCCTGATGAAGTCATAAGAAGCATACTTGGTAAAGGATGAAATATTCTAACTCACAACAGTCATACAAATAATAAAGGAAAGAAAAAATAAAGAACTTAAAAAAAAAAAAACAAATAATAAAGGAAAATATGAAATTCCTAAGACTCATCAAAGGACACGGACAGCTTCCGGGATGGGAGCACATACGGCCGCTCATCACCTCTTCCCTCCTGTAAGTGTCCCTGCTTCTAGGCGAGACACACAAACGTCTATGAAAAGCAGGCACCAGTTTTTGACTGTCGCATCAGAAACATTACCAACACGAGAATGCCCAGTGCTACCAGGGTACCACTGACTGCTACTCTCAGCACTGTAGCAGGGGAAGCAAATTCGGGAATAGTTTGTCATGATACATGTCAGAGGACTTCAAAATATTCACAACCTTTAACTCTTAATAGTTTATGTACTACGCATGTAATGGGGACGTTTACAAATGAAGAAAGAATCAACAGATAAATGACTTAGAAATGATGGTTTATCCAAGCAATGAAGAAGAGCTATAAAAATCTGCATGAAAGGGAACATCCTCATGTGCATAAAAAAAAAAATAGGGGCCGGGTGCGGGGGCTCACGCCTGTAATCCCAGCACTTTGGGAGGCTGAGGCGGGTGGATCACAAGGTCAGGAGATCGAGACCATCCTGGCTAACACGGTGAAACCCCGTCTCTACTAAAAATACAAAAAATTAGCTGGGCGCGATGGCGGGCCCCTATGGTCCCAGCTACTCGGGAGGCTGAGGCAGGAGAATGGCGTGGGCCCAGGAGGCGGAGCTTGCAGGGAGCCAAGATTGCACTCCAGCCTGGGCAATAGAGCAAGACACCATCTCAAAAAAAAAAAAAATTGGGACCAATCCAGCCCCTAACCCTCAATTACGTATACACGTGTGTATCCAAATACCAATCCAGAACCTAACCCTCAATTATGTATACATGTGTTTATCCAAATAAAATTATTATTATCATTTTTTTTTTTTTTGAGACAGGGTCTCCCTGTCATCCAGGCTGCATCATAGCTCACTGTAGCCTCAACCTCCCTGGCTTAAGCGATCCTCCCACCTCAGCCTCCCAGGTAGCTGGGACTATAGGCATGCACCATCATGCCTGGCTAATTTTTTTTTTTTTTGGTAGAGATGGGGGTCTCACCATGTTGCCCAGGCTGGGCGTAAGCAATCTGCCTGCCTTGGCCTCTGAAAGTGCTGGGATTACCGGTGAGAGCCACCACATCTGGCCAAATAAATTGAAAGACATATACCAAGTGTTTCAAGAGTTGGACTGGAAACAGGGGTAATGTATGGCTGTGTTTTCCCCTTTATACCTTCTCAATGTTCCCATTTTCTCTCCTAAGTCCCTATAACATTTGAAATCAGCCAGGTGTGGTGTCTCATGCCTATGATCCCAGTACTTTGGGAGACTGAGGCAGGAGGATCACTTGAGCTCAGGAGTTAGAGACCAGTCTGGGCATCAAAGTGAGACCTCATCTCTATGAAAATATAATTTTAAAACTTAAAAAAAATTGAAATCAATCAAAGGAAAATGTTAACAGAAAGCGATCTGGCCTAAACACAGTCTCATCCCTAACCAGGTCTAGAAAAGTGCCAGGGTCTGAACAGGAGAGGCGGTGCAAGTGGTCCCTGGAAGGCAGGATGTCTCCAAGTCGACAGTTGAGAAAGACACAGAATACTCACCACCCACCACCCCAGCTGCTCCTGGACACTAGGTACTGGCTTATGGTTCACTTGTGAGGGGTGGAAACACATCTTTCAATGGAAAAAATGCCACAGTCTGCTCTCAGGCAGTTATGATACTCCATATGCAAAGGAGAGGAAGGACCAAAGAAGAAAAGGAAGCACCTGTTGGCTTTCAAGTCAGGAAAATTCAATTTGTAGACAAAGACCTTCGTCAAAGGCGGAAACCCTCACACCCAAAAGTGTGGAGCAGTGGCCCCACGGCCAATCAAGAACAGGAGTCTCCCACCAGGCATGGCACCTTCTCGGGGCCAATTCCCACCCTACACCCTTTGCCCTGCTAGACTACCCTTGGAGAAGCTGCTCAGCGACAGGAATGCTGCCTTTGAAAGGAGAATGTGGGCTTGCTTCCTTCTGCATTTTGGTACTGTCCATCCCCTCTCTATTGAGCTTATAGCAATTTTAAAAGGACACGTTTTCTTGTTAAAGAAATCAAAGGGCCGGGCATGGTGGCTCATGTCTGTAATCCCAGCACTTTGGGAGGCTGAGGCAGGAAGATCACAAGGTCAGGAGTTCGAGACCAGTCTGACCAACATAGTGAAACACTGTCTCTACTAAAAATACTAAACTTAGCCAGGCATGGTGGCACGTGCCTGTAATCCCAGCTACTTGGGAGGCTGAAGCAGGAGAATCGCTTGAACCCGAGAGGTGGTGGTTGCAGTGAGCAGAGATCAAACCACTGCACTCCAAGCCTAGGCGACAGAGTGAGACACGTCTCAAAAACAAAAAAGGCCGGAAGTGGTGGTTCACACCTGTAATCCCAGCACTTTGGGAGGCAGAGGTGAGCAGATCATGAGGTCAGGACATTGAGACCATCCTGGCTAACACAGTGAAACCCCATCTCTACTAAAAATACAAAAATTAACCAGGCATCACGGCATGCGCCTGTAGTCCCAGCTACTCGGGAGGCTGAGGCAGGAGAATCACTTGAACCCGGGAGGCAGAGGTTGCAGTGAGCTGAGATCGTGCCACCGTGCTCCAGCCTGGGCGACAGAGCCAGACTCTGCCTCAAAAAAAGAAAAAACGTCAAAACACCCCCACAGCAGTCTGAGGGTGACCCAAGCTCACGGGGGCCAATGCCACTCTTGCTGGGATCCTTGGCCAGTGGGCAGCAGCCTGCCTCCATCTCCCAGCCCAGGAGCTGTTCCTCGGCAGGTTACCACTCCCAAGGCCGCTGTTAGAAAGCGCTGTGTGTCCCTATCACGGCCCTGAAGGGAAGTGAAACCTCCACCTGGTGCGGAGGACTCTGGTCACAGGTGAAGCTCCCAAGGCACCCCTACACCTCCTAGACACAATCACAGATGTACAATAGTAACTAACACCCTAAGGGCCTTCCGAGCAGCCACGCCAGAGTCAGCACCACCCTGGTGTTCTCAACGGCATTGATGATTTGGCTGTTCTTCCTGAACCAAACATTCACTGACAGGACATTTTCCTGGTTCTCCGGCTGCCTCCTGACCCATCCCCAGTCTCCACTGCCCCTGCCCTCCTCCCTGACCCCAATCTTCTCAGCCTGGTGGCACCCAGACTAGGCCTGGCCCCTTCTTACTACCTTTCCAGACGACACAAACCACCTGTACCTAGGGACTCCTAAAACCTGTCTCCCCTGGCAGACTCTGATCCTGGCACCACCTGCCCACCAAGGTCTCCATGGGGCCTCCCAGGCATCTCACAGTGGGCAGATGCAAAATGGAGCCCCTCAGTGTCCCCAGGCCAGAGCCTGTGCAGCTTGTGCTGGCCCCTCCACCCGGAGACCTGCCCTCTTTCTCCCAAGGCCACTCCTGCGAAGCCCTCCTTCCACCACTCAGCTTTTCCCACAGCCAGGCAGCTCTCCTGGCCTCCTGCCCTCCACTGTGTCTCCACCCAGCAGCCAGAGCAGTTTCACAGTAAACATCTCAGACATCCAGTCCACGCCAAAATATTCCCGCACACATCAACTGAACACTCCAGTGCTGCCTCCAGGATCTGCAGGACCAAGGCTGGTCTGAGCCAATCCCTGCTCCCTTTCCCAGCCCTGAGAATTTCACCTTCCCGCATATGCTAAGGTCCTCCTTGCCTCAGGCAGTTTCACTCAGGCTCAAGTCTGCCTCTCCCCACCTCGCCTGGTGCCAGCAGCTTCTCAGCCCTCAGATCTTGCCCTCAGTGCCACGGCCTCCCCTGAGCACTCAGGGCCAGCCACTGTTCTTCAACAGTGCCCTGCTCTTTTCCACACAGAATGTACACCATGTGCCACCTGCCTCTGCCCGTCTGTGCCTGGTTTCTCACCAGCCTCGCCTACCAGCTGTGGCTTCTTGAGAAGAAACAGGTCTGTCTTATTCAACACTGCACAGTCAGAAGTAAAATGGGAACTGGCCACGGCTGGTCTTCAAGAAGAATGAAGCAAAGACTATGCCTCTCTTTCCCCAAGTATGATCCGACCAGTCCAGAACGAGAGAGAGGTAAACACATGGTAACAAATGGTAAAGGAAAATAATTATTTTCAATCTTCAATGGTTTGAAATGCCTCTGGATTGAACCCCAGTTATAACTCCACACCATTTACTCAAAGTACCTGCGATGAAATCTCTGGGAAGTCCTCAGGGTCGGTGTCTGCCTTCTGAGGAGCTGGTAAGACTGGTGGATTTGCTGGTTTCAACCCAGTGATTTCTGGCCTCATCTGCTCTTCCTCTAGCCTGAAAGCCAGAGCTGAATAAGAGAAGCTATTTTATTTCAAATATGCCACAAGGCCTACAAGAGATTTAAACTGCTTCATTAAAATGCTTGGCAGGTGCTATCCATTACAAGTCAACATTATGAGACCTGATAGTGACTGAAATTAATTCAACAATAGCCCAAGGGAATGAAATCTTTTTCAAAACACTTGGCAGTTTGTGTCCTTATCCATAACACAGAACCTCAAATCTTTTGCCTTCCTATTTTCCATTCAGGGACGTTCAGCGTGTGGCAGGTGGGCAGGAGTCCTTTAGCTCTGCTCCACAGAGAAACCATCTTAGACCGACTGACAAGAGACTCTCTGCGTCCTCACCAGAACTCTGCCTGGTCTTTTCCAAATACATGCTAATGAGTGTTATGAAATTAGTGTGGTTATTTAGGTTGAGTGTTCAAGCCCACCAGCTGACTTACTCTATGAGGGAGACTGGACATATCAGTACTTACACCAGATGCTAGAGAGCAGTCAGACAGCATCAAATTAACATCTGTGTTCTAGACAGGTGGTTAAATACAGCTCTACCTTTCTCTTTATCTTGATTTCTTGCCAATTCATTGCCATATATGCCTCCTGGAGTTGTTTAAGGTAGAATGCAAGACTGCTTCTGCCCAATCAAACCTCAACACTGATATCATTTTCAAGTACATGTATTTCTGATACCTTTCCAATGGTCAGCCAAGTTGATGTAGAAGAGGAGTCCACAGAAAATCAGAAAGGCAAGGAGGAAGAGAATCATATTCCGCTGCAATCTTGACAGTTGCTTCCATTTCTAAGGGAGGTACAGAGAATGACATTTCTTACTGAATATATCACACGGAAAGTCTCAACTGTCACAAATTGTGAGGACAATAAGGAATGCAGGAAGACCCAGTATTCAGCTCTATTTCTTTCTTTCTTTTTTTTTTTTTTGAGACACGGTCTCATTCTGTCACACCTAGGCTGGAGTGTAGTGGGTGGAACGCGGCACGAGCCACCGTGCCCAGCCAGCTCTATTTATTTTGAATGGGGAAAAGCTTCCTCTCAGCAGGGAGTAGGTACATTGCTGGGGCAATACTACAGATGTCATTAGTACAGTAGTGTAGATGACATGTGTTTTTGTTGGTGTTGTTTTTGAGACAGAGTCTTGGTCTGTCGCCCAGGCTGGAGTGCAGTGGCCCGATCTCAGCTCACTGCAAGCTCCGCCTCCCGGGTTCACGCCATTCTCCTGCCTCAGCCTCCCGAGTAGCTGGGACTATAGGCGCCTGCCATCACGCCCGGCTAGTTTTTTGTATTTTTTTAGTAGAGACAGGGTTTCACCGTGTTAGCCAGGATGGTCTCGATCTCCTGACCTCGTGATCCGCCTGTCTCGGCCTCCCAAAGTGCTGGGATTACAGGCTTGAGCCACCGCGCCCGGCCTAGATGACATGTGAATAAGAAAAAAGTAGAAACATTTCTGTCATATTTCATCAGCAGTGGAAAAAGACTCCCGCGATTCCCACAGATGTAACCCAGGCACCGCCCAGGCGATGCATGGGTCCGGATGTGGTTATCAATGCCCTTTGTCCTGAGACCACCACGAACATACCAAGAGCCAATCAAGATGGGCTAATTTCTCACTGTACTGCGGGCAGCATACACCACGGGGAACCTCCGGTTCCTGCTCCAAGAGGGGCAGGCGCCTGGGCCAGGACCTTGCAGAAAAGCGAACGAAGCCCAGAAAACCTGCTGGGGCTCCAAGCCCTCCTCCCACCACCGCCCCGCAGAATTCGGGCCCCTGAGACCGCTGCAGCCCCGACCCGGAACGCACATTTGCCCCTTTTTGCAGGGAAGGGGTGGAGAGGGCGGCGCCGGGGGAGTCGAGCCCGCCCGCCCAGGCCCCGCTAGAAGCCGCAGGCTGGGAGGGCGGCGGGCACAGCGGCCCCGGGACCCGGTCAACCCGGCGCGGCCCTCACCCTCCAGCACGAGCGCCGCCGCCAACTCTTGCTGTTGTCATAGCTCTCGCCAAAGCTCAGCGTCACCGAGATGAAGTCCCGATGAGGCGGCGGCGGCGGCGGTGGGTACATGACTACGGTGGTGGCTACAGCCCAAGGGGCCCCGCCCACTGGCGGCGTCAGGAAGTCCGACTGAGAGGAACCGAGAGCTCCGCTCCTGCGGCCCTCGCAGGCAGCCATTGCACCGCCGTCAAGAGCCCGTCCATCGCACGGATACACGACTGCGCATGCGCCACGTCTCTTTGAGGCCACTGCGCCTGCGCCTGTCTCCGCACGTTCCAGCGCCCGCGACTGCGTTCTACGGCGGCTGCGTCAGAGAACGACTGCGACTCCGCCCTGCCCTCAGGTTCATTGCGCTTGCGCCGGCGCAGATGCGCTCCGAGCGTAGCTGTAGCGACAGGGCGGGCCTTGGTTCCGTTTGGGGGCGTGGTCGCTGTCTGGAGCTCCCACGTGGTTCGCCTCACGGATCTGGAGCTGGGCTTCTCTCGCCTCCCGTCGTCCGGCTGCACCGGCTTTGCCCACGCCCTCACGGGAGACGCAGATACCCGGGACCCGGGGAGGCGCCTCCACTTCTCTTCTGGGTCACTCACTCTAAGTGGGACTCCTTCATGGGTGGTCGCTGTCTGGAGCTCCCACGTGCTCCGCCTCACGGATCTGGAGCGCCTGCCTCCCGTCGTCCGCTGCACTGGCTTGCCTACGCCTCACGGAGACGCCCGCCCACACAGGCAGCAGATGATAACGGGACCTGGGAGGCGCTTCCACTTCTCTGGGTCACCACTCTGGCGGACTCCTTCATGGCAAGGAATGTTGAAAGACGTGAAGAAGCTCTGAGCCTGAGTAGCCTGTCAGAGCTGTCTGCCGCTCTTTAATGGGCAGGATCTGACAAAAACCCAGCACAAAGCTGAGGCGGGAGGATCACTTGAGCACAGGAGTTCAAGACCAGCCTGGGCAACATAAGGCAACCGGGCATTTCTACAAAAAGTTTAAAAATTAGCCGGGCGGTTGGTGCGGCGGCTCAAGCCTGTAATCCAGCACTTTGGGAGAGTCGAGATGGGCGGATCACGGTGGAAGCCAGGAGATGGAGACCATCTCATAACACAGTGAAACCGTTCCTACTAAAAATACAAAAACTAGCCGGGCAAGGCAGGCGCCCCAGAACCCAGCTACTCGGGAGGCTGAGGCAGGAGAATGGCGGACCCGAGGCGGAGCTTGCAGTGAGCTGAGATTGCGCCACTGCACTCCCAGTCTGGGTGACAGACTATCTCAAAAAAAAAAAAGAGTCCAGGCCGTGGTGGTGTGCCAGTGGTCCCTACTCTGGAGGCTGAGGTGGGAGGATCACCTAAGCCCAGGAGGTTGAGGCTGCAGTGAGCCATGATCACACCACTGCACTCCAGCCTGGGCAACAGACAGACCCAATCTCAAAAAATTCTCTCAAGCCCCACACCGCCTCCCCCACCACATATGCCTGGGGGCCCACTGAGGCTATACTTGAATTGCAATTATGTTATTCTTGATTAAATTCATTTATCCTGAGAGCCTGAGCTTTCTTTAGTTGACCCCACTCACTCTTGTCATCCTGCAGTGCTTCCAAGATCCTGCCGCAAGAGCAGGGAACCCTTGGCATCTCAAGGATGCAGGTGCAGGAGAATGAGTCTCCAGGCTGTCAGAGCTGAGCGTGTAGAATCCAACCTGGAGAGCACCTGAGGTTCCTGACCCCAGGTTGTCTTGGTCCTTCCTGAGACCCTGGTGAAGAGTGGGATGGAAGCGCGGGGATTCCTGGGCACCCCAAGTAGTCTTGGCCTCTCTGCGTGAACTCCTCTCTCCAAGGGGCCCCAGTGAGCTCCACTCTGACACAGCTGTGAACACCTGATCCTTGTTCCCAACACCCATGCATCACAAAGCTGCGCCTTTGCCAGGTAGCAGTCAATCACAGCACCTTGTGTTTATTGGAAATGTCCCACCTACAAACATTAAGATGCCAGCAACTGGCCCAGCGCAGTGGCTCACACCTATATAATCGCAGCACTTTGGGAGGTCATGGGTGGATCATGAGGCTGTGAGATGGAGACCATCCTGGCTAACACGGTCAAACCCCCATCCCCACCAAAGAGTGTGCCTGGTGCCTGGGTGGTGCCTGTAATCCCTGGGCTACTCGGGAGGCTGGGAGGCAGAGGCAGAGGTTGCAGTGAGCCAAGGTCACCCCACTTCACTGCAGCCTGGGCAACAAGAGTGAAACTCCATCTCAAAAAAAAAAAAGACTTCACCCACTAACTATGCTTATGTAGAAAGAGGTTGCATCCCTGTTCCAGTCCTGGCCATGAGGAGTAGCTATGAGAAGGGCCCCAAGGCACAGCAAGGTTTGGTAATAAGAAGGGCGGAGCCAGGGAAAAGGAAGGCTTTGTTTTAAATATCACAAGGTGGGCTCGAGCCTGCTGCCTGCCCAGGTCTGGGCGCCTCCACTCAGCCACTGTCCTCCCCGTGCCTCTAAATCTGGAAGGTTGCATTCAAACCTGCTCTTCCAGATAACACCCTCCCTGGGAAACCAATGGGAGATGAGTAGCCCCTCACAGGGGCCGTGGGGTTTCGGGAGGTGGGGCAGAGGATGCTAGCAGCAGTTGCATAATATAGCCTTCATGTCAGCAGGGAGAGGGAGGTGCTACTGCTCTCCCGAGATGAGAAAGCAGGGTGAGAGTCACCAGGGGAAGAACCCTGGGCTGGCTTGTCCTAGCCACTCCTGAGTGCAGAGGCCAAGGCACCAAATATGGAGGCTGAGTCCTCACTGGGAGCTGGGCAGCCTGAGCACGAAGATCCACTGTAGCTAAGCAGGCAGCTGGGGCGAGGGGCAGCCTCCTGACCTGCGGAACTCGTGATTAGTCAGCAACTATCAGAGAGGCCACCAGCGTTGATCCCATTGGCTGTTGGGGAAGCACAGAAAATTCAGCAGCCTAAACGGACCGCGGAAGAGGCTGAGAGGCAGAGGCCCTGGGGACAGATGGGGAGAAGGCCGAGCCTCAGGTGTCCAGGCCAAGCTTCTCAGAGCCACCTTGATCACGGACATCAGACTTTCTGTATCTTGCTGGGCATCCAGGGTATGTGGGCTGGGATGCCCCAGCCTTTGCCCTCACATTTAAGTCTGCTGCTGAGGAGGAGGGGGCAGCTCCTCAACTGGGTGGAATTGTTCTCTCTGTCTCGGTTCTGCATCGGTAGGCTGCAGAAAGAAGACGTCCTGCGTGAGCTTATGCAGCTTCCAGTGCTCCACTGGGTGTGGTGGATCCCAGGGCGGCTCCCAAAGCGACGTGCCTCCTGTTCTCCAGATGACACCACACCTCCCTTGGGCTCCCCAACCCGAATCCTCCTCTCAACCCCATCTCCTCCCAGGTAGTCCCAAGTCCTCTGCCTCTCAACTAGACCCCCTACATCCGAATGGAGCCACAGAGCCCCCAGCAGGCTGTAGCCACTTGTGTCCAGAGGCGACAGGAGAGGCTCCTGCCCTCACGGAGTCCACCAGCACGCTTCCTCTCTGTGTTCTGCAGGCTGAAGCACGGGCAGGCTGCTTCCCCATCCAGAGCTCACAGTAGGCTGGTGGCCATAGCCCCCAGCTCCAGGACGCCAGGGCTAGCAGGTCTGGGGGCAGTCTGGGGGCAGTCTGGGCATGTCAGGACTCCTGCGGCTGTAGAGCTCCTGGCCTGGTCCTCATCCAAGATGAACGGGACTGAACTCCCGGCCTGCAGGCACTCTAAACCCTGAGGACGAGCAGGCAAACAATGGCCAAGTACCCACCTTTGGCTGGCCACAGCCCCTCACACACCAAGGAGCCACAGTCCCCAGGCACGATCCCAGGTCTGCCTGGAGTCAGGAGGGTCGGGACATGTTGGGCTTCCAGGGCCAGGAGCAGACACACACTGCAAGGCCACCTAAGACTACACTCTGACCCAGCTGTGCAGGTGGAGACCCTCCTGTCACACTCCAGGTCTGACTCCGACCAGAGAGTAGTAAAAGCGCAGCTAAGGTCAGGAGTGTGGAGAGGCCAGTATCCTACCTCCACGAGGCTCCCACTCAAGGCCTGCCTGGCCCCACACTGGGCTCAGACCTGGGCTGTCTCATACCCATGCCTCCAGGTCCTGCTGCCTCTGGACGCCACCCCACCCCCATCCCGTATCTTGGAAAGTCTTCTGCAACTTTGTACACCATCCGACATTGGTTGTCCAAGGCAGAGCCAGCTGCCTCCACTCCAAGCAGCGCGCACCAGGTGGTATTAAAACTGATCAGAAAAGCCCTGCAGATAGGGACGGGCAGCTCTCACCTCTCCAGAGTAAGACACCAAGGGCGATATCTCACAGATGGCCGGAGGGTCTCCATTTGGGGGTAAGCTTAGAAAGTCCGCCGCTGTCACAATCTCCTGCAACGCCTACCCAGAGCCCTCCCACAGCACTCCCCACCCCCAGGAGGCTGAGAGTTTCCATACATCTGGCTCCCGGAGCCCGCGCCTCAGCAAGCTCGCTCCTGACACCCCAAACCCTGAGCACACACCCCCACTGCTACAAGTGACAGGACCTTGATTTGGGTAGAAAGTACCCCACAGGCCTCCCACGAGAACTCTAGGCAGCTAGATTTAGAAAATCAGGAGACAGAAGCCAAACGTCCTTTCTTTCCCCAGCCCTGAAATCAAACTGTCCTGCCATTTCTTTTCTTTTCTTTTTTTTTTTTTGAGGCAGAGCCTCGCTTCTGTTGCTCCGGACTGGAGTGCAGGAGTGGCGCGATCTCGGCTCACTGCAAGCTCCGCCTCCCAGGTTCCTGCCATCTCTCTGCCTCAGCCTCCCAAGTAGCTGGGACTACAGGCGCCTGCCACCACGCGGTTAATTTATTTTTGTATTTTTTAGAGATGCAGTTTTTTTTTTTTTTTTTGAGACGGAGTCTGGCTCTGCGCCAGGCTGGAGCCGAGTGGCTGTGATCTCAGCTCACCGCAAGCTCCGCCCCGGGTTCACGATTCTCCTGCCTCAGCCTTCCGAGCAGCTGGGATCACAGGCGCCGCCACTCGCCCGGCTAGTTTTTTGTATTTTTTTTAGTAGAGACGGGGTTTCACCGGTTAGCCAGGATGGTCTCGATCTCCTGACCTTGTGATCCGCCTCGCCTCGGCCTCCCAAAGTGCTGGGATTACAGGCTTGAGCCACCACGCCCGGCCACTACTTCTGAATTCATGCCCGGGCTCAGTTTTTAAAGCCTGTGATCAAATGGGAACAAGGCTGGGTGATGGATCCCGTAAAGCTCTGACCTGACCACTGTGCAGGCAATCTACGCATGTATCAAAGCTGCACACGCACTTCTACAAGTTTATACCAATAAGAAAATAAAAATAAAAAAATAGGCGGGCGCGGTGGTCACGCCTGTAATCCCAGCACTTTGGGAGGCCGCCAGGGGGCAGATCACAAGGTCAGGAGATTGAGACCATCTACAACACGGTGAAACCCCGTCTCTACTAAAAAAATACAAAAATTAGCCGGGCGTGGCAGCAGGCGCGCCTGTAGTCCAATTTGGGAGGCTAAGGCAGGAGATGGCGTGA